GTCAGTGGTTTTGACATTGGTTTCAAGTAGGAATTGCAGGTTAAGACAGTAATCAAAGTCAATACTTCTTAATTATTTCTTTAAATCTGGCTCATAAAGTCAGTCATGCTTACAACAACTATATATATGCTTACCAGCATCTCTTTCGTGTTATAACTGTCCAACACAGAAAGACTGAAATCGTCTTAGTCAACAGCTATTCTGTTGCAGTGTCTGAATGTGTGTGCATGTGTGCGTATGGGTATGTATATGTTTTTATGTGTATGTGGATATGTGTGTATATTGTGTGTGTTAGTGTTTGAATGTATGTGTTTGTATTGTGCATGTCCTTGCCTTTGTCTTGAGATGAGAACAAGTTATTCTTAGGAGTGAATATTCCTGTACATGATTAGCATCCATTACCAGTTCTTATGAGAAGAAATAAACACACGCGTTAGGACTTAACTTTTATATTTAAAAAAATTCCCATTGTTCTATTTTTTACATGAAATATTAACAATTTTTAAAATAAAAAAATCTATGGAAATTCTTTGTTTAATAATTAGTCTCACACTCAGAAGTAAAAAGAATAATGATCTATAGAAATTCCATAAGGTAAGTAAAACACATTTGTTAGGAAGAATTATATTTAATTTAGAAATCATATCTGTGTACACAAATTTAAGTCAACTGGGAGTAGGTTTTTAAAGCCAACTAGAATCTTTAGTCATTCATTTAATGATGCTGGGAGTATTTTTTTTTTTTTTTTGCTTAAGATGTATGGCAAAAAAAAATAAAAAAACAAAAAAAACAAAAAAAAATAAAAAAAACAAAAAAAAACAAACAAAAAAACAAAACAAAAACAAAAAAAACAAAAAACAAACAAACAAAAAAAAAAGATGTATGGCAAGATATCAGAAATGAAACTAAGTAATTAAAGGGCCAGACTGAAAGGAGAGGGGATAGGAGAGGACAGAAAAATGTGGGGTAAATATGTTTATCACAGTCTCATGTACAATGAATATGTATAATTCTGAAAACATTTATATACACACAGAGATGTAATGCCTGCGTATTGTTTAACACGTAGTTTAACTAAAATTATTTTCTTCAATAAATACTGTAAGAAATAACCAAGAAATTGAATATTAATATTGTTACATCAAAAATATGTTCATATAATTTATAGTAAAGTTTCTTAATCTCACTTTTTATATCAATGTTTTTTTATTTTAATAAGCACTCCTGATTAATTGAGAAACAATAAAGAAGCCATATGCTGTTGTTTTTCTAGGGTGCCTTTGAAAGTGACACTAATAGAAATACATTAATTTTCTAGGGTGCCTTTGAAAGTGGCACTAACAGAAATTTATTAATGATTGATTGCTTTTCAAAATACATTAAATCATAAAATATATTGTGTATCATCTTTTATTTGAGGCTGTGGGACTTGTCAATCTTTTCTAGTATAGTTGTGATTCATTCATTTTGATTGTATACTGTCTGCCTTTGTTCAATAAATATTAGCACACACAATAAATTGCAGCATATAAAAAGGAAAATAATACAGTGATGAGAATGAATGAATCATAACAACACTAGAAAAGATTGGCAAGTGACACAATCAGAGTTCTGGTTACCTTGTGTTTTTGCTAACACTTGATATCACTCATCTTTTCACTTGAACAATTTTAATATGCACATTAGACTACATCAGAGTGTCATTACTCTTATAAAACAAGAAAAAGTAAGTTTTCAATAAATCATATTCCACTTTAATTTTTAATATCATTTAAATGTTGTTACTATCCAAATAATAATAAAAGGAGGTAACTCACATATTTAAGAACAGAGTAGCTGAACTTATGATTCTGTAACCGGCCTTGTATAGTTAGTTAATGGTGTCATAAGCTGTAGTAATAAAAACACCAAAAAGCAAGCAGTTTCTCAGGTTAACACCAAGTCCCATCATCAGTGTGTGCTAAAATACTTTCTGGTCTGACTAGGAGTGAAAGTGAGAGGAAAAGAAGCTATGAGTGACAGTCTGAGGAAGACTTGACTAGGGCTCCCTGAGGATCCTAGATTAAATTTATCCATTAGAGTCTAGGTTTTCAAACGTTGGACCTGCCTTCCCTTCCTGCCTCTCTCGGTAACTAAGGGCCACATAAAGAAATAGATGTTTTACTGAAACAGCAAATAACTTTATACTTCTAGACTTCCTGTTTTTTTGAGATCAATTAAGCCCAAACTCATGAACACCAAACAAAATTTTAATTGTGAATTGACTGTCCCCACATCGAGTAGCTAAAGAAATGTGTGAATCACAAATATAATGTTATACATTTTGTTTTTTGCTATGGTTGGTGGTAGGAACAGGGTAACTAGAGCCAGTAAGTGAGGCAGACTAAATTCTCATGCCATAGCCAACTTTATTCAGAGCATCAGATGATTTATACCCTGAGAGTTAAGAGGAGTCACTATGTACAAAGGCAAAGTTGCACACGACAAAGCATTTTTTTCCATAGAGGCAGATAAACAAATGGCAATAGCCAGCTGTAATGAATAATCTGAAGTCAGTTCACTCCTATCTTGTCCCTCATACTGAGGAGGGGCAAGAAAACATATTCTGAGGACAATTCTACGTTTTCAAGAAACAGAAGTCACAGGACTCTTGTCTTATTAGAGATTTCTCACAAGCACTCAGAATTCTCCTTACAGGACTCCATTCTTGGACCATGTTCTGATGATATTTATTTACCCATATTATTCATCATCTCTATTGATTTTCAGCACATTAATCAAGGAGCCAACTATGTAATGTGCTTTTAACACTGTGACAATGGTATATACTTGGCCATGCTACAGAAGATCAAGGTTAATTGACTCCTTGGTAGTTAAGAATAGGAGGCATTCACAACATAAGTGATCTCAATTTCCTTCTGCTCCTTTCTACTGGCATATATCTCCCATGGATCCTGGAAAACCACCCCTTAGTCCTGTTGTGGCTGCACACACACACACAAAGGTGAATTTTGGTGTAGGCAGAGTCTCCTCTTTCTTTTTCTAGCTTCTCAGATCAGAATAATCACACAGAAACTATTAATTGCTTGACCAATGATTCAGGCATATTTCTAAATAACTCTTACATCTTAAATTTACCCATTTCTATTAATATGTAAATCGCCATGAGGTTGTGGCCTACCACTAAGGTTCTGGCTGGCAGATGGCATCTTTCTCCTTCAGCAACTATTTGGCATCTCCTTGACTGCCTACTTTCTCTTTATATCTCTGTTTGGATTTCTTGCCTGGCTTAACTCTAAAAAGCCACTGGCTGAAACCGATTCATTAGTAACCAATGGTAATAAAAGAAATTCATAGTATACAGAGGGGAATCCCACATCATTCTGAACTGTTTTGAAAATATCAAGATTTAAACAACTGCCTGTCACAGTTTTATTAAAATACTTTATTAATATTATACTATTAATATACATAATATTAATATGATGAAAATGAGCTAGTATGTCAAATACAATGTCAAAGTTTCTATTATTTAATTTTTATTTAAAATTGTCAATCCTCATTTTGAAGTGGATATTCCTTAAACTTACTTAATATGGCTGTGCTTATAAAAGTGTAACCCAATTTCATTGTTTCAGAAATAATTGTTTTTACCTCACTAGGAATTTTTGGGGAAAGGCATGTTAACAGTTGGCACAAACTCTTCAAGATGAAGGGAGGAAAATCACATTAAAACAATGTGACATCACTGTGGATAGCTTTCTTTTTGTCATAATGAGAAAAAAAGAAGAGTTCCTATAGGAGACTTTACTGATAGAGAATGGAATCTCCCAGCAGTAGCTGGTACCTCCACCTGGTGGAAGAGACCTTAGTACATAAACTTTTTTTTTCATTTTACTTTTAAGAATGTTATCCTTTGCTCCAGAAATCTCATGACTCATTACATGAAAATCTAGTCTTACTTAATATCTCCTGGCTTAGAAGCTCACTTAATATTTCTTCTTCCCTTCTTTCCCCCAAATTTCTGAATCCAGACAGACTTCCCATATTTTCAGCATGCATCACCTGTGTTTACTTGTCTTTAGCGCTGATGTGTGCAATGCTTCTTTGTTAATCCACAGTGATGAATGTGGCTGCTCATGTGACTTACAAAGCTACAGTATACAGTCTGAAAACAAAAGCAATTATGTGGCTGAATTCTACTAGGTAACTTTGAAATCTAGCAAAATGTAATGAATGAATTTGTCAATGAATGACTTAATTGGCATTGGCATTTTCTATTTCCAGTTGGTAATGAGCATTTGAGGACAGGAATTACACCATCTTTCAGCTAGTCTATTAGTACAGAATGGTGAATAGAGTAGGAACTGATACATTTTTGGGACGTATAAATTTAAATATTTTCATGAATAGTAAGTTGATATTATATTATTGCCACTTGGTGAAGGTAGCAGTCATTCTAGTACCATTTACTACCTGTGACAACATCCTGTTACTAATGATTGTAACTTACTGAAACTGTATTATTTCCTCTGCCTACAAAAGATTTTGTGGATTTTATGTCATTATAAATTTAATAATTTTGGCTTGTCTTTCTCAATGAATGTATGTGTGTTTGTCTATATATACAATCTTATCTAAATACTTCATAAAATAAATTGATGCAGATAATGAGACAATGTTAGGTATAGACATGTGTAATTGAGCCAGAATTCTCTCTCTCTCTCTCTCTCTCTCTCTCTCTCTCTCTCTCACACACACACACACACACACACACACACACACTTTTTTTAGCATGTTGTTATACACAGTTAAAATCCATTTTTTTTCTGTTTTCACTGTGAGCATTTCACCTCAGCAGAATGGTGATAAAGTTTTTCTATCTGTATTTTGAGATGCACAGCCATGGTGTCTGTTCTGAGAAAAGATGGTTCAAGCAGATCTGAAGGTTGCCTCTGACCAGGTTCCCAAGTAATAACTCTTTCCTTTCACTCCGGCAGCTATGCTCAACGTGTGGTTGGAAACGGGATGAAAGCCCAGTCTGGAAACCCTGAAGTCAGAGTCAGAGGAACTGACCCTGTGATAAACCAGATCGTTGATAAACTGAAGCATGTTATCCAGGTAAGTGCTGGCTTGATTCTTATGGATATATTCAACTGTAAAGGCAGTATGGTTACTTTACTAATTGTATCTAATATCCTCCTAAATTGATCTTTGGAAAAATTTATTTTTATCTGGAGTTTCAGAAATACTTTTTTGAACCATCACCATTTAAAGTCAATTCCAATGGTTTGGTGGAAAATCTGTGTCTTTGAACAACAAGCCTTTGCTTTTAGCATTTCAACTATGAACTTCTTAGGGTATAATCATCTTTAGTAAAGAATCTATAAGCTTAGGAACTTATGACTACTAAAGGAACCCATATCAGATCACAAAAGTCAGAACTGCCGTTCATATAACTATACAAACTTTGTCAAGAAAGTGGCACTATCAAAAGACCATAAGTAAATAATCTGCATTTCTGGTGTATTTCACATTTTAGATATTATGTGTGTAATCACCCTAGTGGGTGTTCATTAAATATTTCTGTTTGATCGTTTATGTCATATACATTGTTGTTTTAATATGTAATATATGAACCATTTCAGATAATTATTCAAAAATATTTCATTGAAACTGTTTATTAGTTGGAATAATACATTACGTATTGTAAATATCACCTTCATCCCACATTTAGTATTATTTGGTGTAGGAAGGACTATTCCTTAAGTTGTTAGTTATTATGTAATAATTTGTGTGTATATACATCTTCATTCATCTTCATTTGAAACCCTGCTGAACCTAATATGTGTATAACGGTTGTTTATTACCTAGGTAAGTGCACAAACCCAAGAACATACACGGAAAAGAATAGTTAGATCTCCAGTCTACAGAGGTTCTTAAAGTCCTGTGGAGAAGGCCTTCCTGATCTGTTGTCCCACAGTATAGCTGCATCCTTGTTACAGAGATATCAAAGCTACATCCTTTCCAAGGTATCGCAGGGAAATGATCCTACTTTTATTTATTTATTTATTTATTTATTTTTATTGAGAAAAGGAAAAAAAAGTTTCCCCTCCTCCCAGCCTCCCATTTCCCTCCCCCTCCTCCCACCCTTCTCTCCCTCTCCCCACTCCTCTCCCCCTCCCTCTCCAGTCCAATGAGCAGTCAGGGTTCCCTGCCCTGTGGAAAGTCCAAGATCCTCCCCCCTCCGTCCATGTCTAGGAAGGTGAACATCCAAACTGGCTAGGCTCCCACAAAGCCCGAACATGAAGTAGGATCAAAACCCCGTGCCATTGTTCTGGGCTTCTCATCATCCCTCATTGTTCGCCATGTTCATCCTACTTTTTAAGCTCCTGTTCAGATTGCATCCCATTCTTTTATCTTTAGGAGCATGCAGATCTCAAATTATACAGGCTTTCGCTTCATTGTAGAATTACAAGAAAATATCAAATATATGCTGCCTTTGAGGTCGGAATTTAAAGTCTGCTGGAATCATATGGCTGGAAATTAGATTTTTGTGAAGGATCACAGAAAGTCATATCCTGAACAGGTGTCACTAACACATTAACCTTTTGCGCCTTAGAATATACTGCTTCATAAGCTGGTTCTCCTGCAGATGGAGAAAAAGTTTTTATTTTGCCAGACTTCTGACTCCTTATAATATATATGTGCCCTGAAAAGGTGACTGGTGCTATGCGGAACTGCAAAGGACAGTTAACAGGATCTCTAGTGTCATTTGTAAGAAAGGTTCAGGAAGGTTGCCGTCTGGTGCGAGGATTCATTACTTTGGGAGGAGTGTGGGCTAAGTGAGGGCATGGACATTGCGACATAGTCACAGTCAAATCCCTAGATTTATAAGATCGTATAAATATTTGTGTAAAGTTGTTTTCATTATAATGGATTTTAGCTAAACTTGTAAGTGTGCACTCTGGAAAAATGCTACATTTTATAAGAGAGATTAATGTGCCCCTTACCTTTTTGTCTGTGTACAAGTATACAGAAATAATCACCTATACTTTTTGCCAGCAAAAATATTAGTAATAATTACCTCCATATGTTATTTCTGAAACACCTGTGTTCTTGGCTTGCTATAGCTGTGACCTCATTTTTTCTGACTTCTGCAATTAATCACTAAGCAAGCAGGCAGAGATTTTATGTTGAATTGGCTATACTTTCCCTGTTTTCACAGTTACTTTATTAAATGTATTTAATATATTTACCTTTTAAGTTCATAGTATGAGAATAGGTTTATAAAATAGAGAGACAAGGTAGATATGGTGACTATCATTGCCTTTGCACTCCTAGATGAGGTAATTGAATAAACAACAATAGCTGGAAAGAATTATAAAGGAACTCAACAGACTGAGAGTAAGCCTTAGGCAACCAGTGCTAGTGAATGAAGAAAAAGAATGGGGAAAATTGGTGAGAACTCTGGGGCAAAAGGACATCATCTTTAGGGCACAGAAAACACAAGGCTGCAGCAGAATGAAGGAGTAGCAGAGACACACCTGAAGCTCGTACGGGAGAACGTTAATAGGCTCTCCTCACAAGTGTATGTATGCTTTATTCCAAATGCAAGAAGAAGACGTTTAAAGTGGCCAGGGGGTGACTTCATTTATGTCTTATAAAAATAATTTTGTCTGAATTGTGGAAACTGGACCTCATGGAGAAAGAATCAAGGAAAATCCTACACGTTGAAGATGATAGTAATTGAGAATTGGATGATCAGCATAGATAGTTATAAGAGGTATATAGAGCCTGAGAAATATTTTGGAAATGGGATTGGTTTGCAGTTAGATTGGAACTATGGGAGAGGAAAAGAACAACTGGTCGATTAGATGGTTCTGTGGATAAGGATATTTGCTGAAAACCTGAGTTATATGGGGAGCAAAAACATAACACAATTTTGTCCATTGTTGAAGGGTTAGGTAGAATCCTGACAATGACTAGGAATATTCTAGCAATGTGGAACATTTAGTGGTATTAGAGATGATATCAGAAGTCCCTTAGCAAATTTAGGATGTACAAGGTATCTCAAGAATAGCCAAAAGAAATATTTGCCTTTCATCCTCCCTAAATACATGATATTTACTCTTACTACTTCTTTTTGTATGTTACACTGCACTCACGTGTATATTTGCTTTCTGATATTTTTATATATTATGGACTAGGATCTGCATATAAGAGAAATACAACGTAAGTTATAAGAGCAGATATAAAGGTACTTCTTCCTTTAGTCTATTTCTAACTCTACCATGACTTTTCTTTCTTTTTTGTGGTAAAGAGTATATGAAATTATAATTGTTAGCAAATGTATCAAATCCATTGTGGAGCCCCACTCCACAGTTTCAGAATAGCTAGCCGTTCTCACTATATAGAAGTTCATTGAGATATGTAGATTATGCTTTAGCTAACCTTGCTACATGTTTTTTAAATTTAATTTACAAGTTCTTTCCAATAAAAATTTTAATTATTGTTAAAATGAAAAATATTGTAGTCAGAAGGTGACTTGCAAAGACATTCAAGGTTTGCTAGAGAGAAAAGTTTTAGCATAAATAATATCAACATATTTCATCATTTAGGGCAAACCCTATTTCTACGTTCTACTCTTAAATACATATTGATGCAAATAGAAATCCTTGTTTTGTTGTGTGTTGTGTGTTCCTCACAGACATCACAGGACCTTGCCGTTTCCACACCTGAAAGTCTTTCTGCATTGTGAACAGGAATCTTGAAGGAACAAGAGCATCTTACCCTGCCACTCCTCCACCTGTGATTCTACCTGTGATTCTCTCCTAATACAGCCTTACTGGAATCCCAGTACTTATCTTCCAGTGCCTCTTTGTAAAGAGTAATTTCCCAGGGTAAATTCACCTGGGGAATCTCACCATACTGTAATGTTAACTTCCTTAGATGCTTGCCTCCCACTGAGATGAAAAAAAAAATTAGTTCATTTCTCCAAGTGTATCTCATAGGTACAAAAATCTACTAACATTTCCCATTCGGATTTTTTTTTTTCCTAGAACTCCTTGTTCACACTGACCACTTGTTTCAGGGGAAGTTGTCAGCATGCATGTTACAGCTGTGCAACAAATGGTCTGTAAACATTAAACATCTATAATTTTAAGGAAAATGTTGGAAGAAGCTAAAATATTCACTGCTGGGTACAATTAGCATAAAATGGATGTTTTTAATGCTTAGAAAGAAATTTGCACTCTTTCAAAAAGAGATGTAAGATGAAATGGCATTCAGTTTTCCATAATCGTTTTACTGACAAACCTAATAATCACTATAATAGTGTGGAAAGTGGTGAATTTAAGTGGAATTTTATTTCCTAATTCTAACCAGTCCAACTCATTTAAGAGTGCTAAGTTTCTATGAAGCATTTGCTTAATGTGTACTAAAACTTCATAAAAATCTTCGTGTATTAAATAAATTTTTTCTTTTAATAAAAAAGAAGTTATAATAGCTACTTAAATCGTAAAATAACCATACATTTAATAGCATATATTCCAATGATCATAGTATATTATACTATATTAAGGCATTGATGACACTTATTTTATGTAAGGAACAACTATGCTAAACAGACTCTGCCTTTTTTCACTTTTTCCTGAAATACTAATATTATGAATAGTCACTTTAAAACCATGACAGACTGAGAGAGATTCTAATTTAAATCTCAATGAATAGTTATAAAGGATAGTTTTGCACATACAAAAAAATAAGACAAGATGTTCTAAAGACACTGTTATTTCAAAGTTTCAAAATTTTAAGGACTTTTCAAGCTCTTCTCATTAAACTTACAGCGCAGTACTATTCAGAAAATTTCTATTTGTTTTTAACTGTGCATTGAATTAGTCAGTCTCTTAGAACTCAAATATCAACAGATTATGGGATTTTTCTTCCTCTGACCCATCCTGTCATGGTCTTAGGAAGTACCACCATACTGAGGCCCTTTAAACTGGATTCTACTACACAGTAGCCATGGCCCTAGGCTTGTGGTACTCATATTCCGTAATCAGATAGTTCTTCACTTGGAATTAGCAATGCAGCAGCCATCAAAATGCATTTAGTTAACT